GACATTATGTTTATTGTTTGTTACCGTGCCAGGTTTCAAGCGAATCCTCGAGAACCACACATGTTCACAGATAAGAACATACTCTGGTATCTGAAGCGAACCACTTCTCTTGGTGTATGGTATCCTTCCAATTTGGAATTCTTTATACAAGCTTACTCTAGTGCTGACTTAGGTGGTTGTGGTCTTGATCGAAAAAGTACATCTGGTGGATGTCAGTTTTTGGATGGCAAGCTCGTTAGTTGGTAATCTAAGAAGCAGACATGCATATCCGTATCTACAGCTGAAGCATAATACATCGCAACAACATTATGTACTTCCCAAGTGTTGTGGATTCACAACCAGCAAAGAGACTATGGAGTCAACATGAAGCGAATTCCTCTGTATTGTGATTCCAAAAGTGCCATAAGAATATGCCACAATCCTGTGCAACATTCCAAGACTAAGCATATAGCACTATGTACCATTTTGTTAAGAATCACATTGAAGATCCAAATGTGTAAGTTCACTTTGTTCGTTCTTCAGATCAATTGGTTGATATATTCATAAAGGAATTGCCAGAAACATCCTTTAATCGGATTCAACAAGGGTTGTGAATGATTGTGTAGCACCTAGTTCCTGGTATGTAAATCTTAATTGAGTATGTTCCATTTTAAGCCTTGGACTCGGCGAGTCATAGGTCCGACTCGCCGAGTAGGGACGGGACCCGAGACACGTTTAAGTTGGCGACTCGGCGAGTCCATATCCTGGACTCGGTGAGTCACCGCTGTTGGATGAAACCCTAAGTTTCAGGGTTTGCACCCTATTTAATCCCCCTTTTCCACCCCCAAGCCAACCTCCATTCACCCTCAGAGCCATATACCTCGTTCTAAGCCTTGTTTTGTGGATTTGAAGCCATTTGGTGTGTCCTCTTGAAGATTGGAGTGAGTAGCGAAGGAGATCAAGAAGAAGAAGAGGAGGTCAAGCACGTGTGAGCTATTTCAGAGTGATCCCTAAGGTATGGCTTGTTTTCCCCCTTGTCTCCATGCTTATGGCCCCATTAAAGTCCTTCATGACTCATTTTCCAAGCTTGTATGTGCATCATATTTCGAAATAAGTTGATTGGCCTCTAGATCTAAGCATGGTTGAGCTCGAGGAGCTCAGATCTACTACCTTTATGAACCCATATTGCATGAAAACCTTAGATCTACTCTTTTGGTGCATTTTGAACCCTAAAAACCCCATAGATGGATATTTACACGTAAAGTTGGAAACTTTACGTGTTATTCATGCTCTAGGAGCCCAGATCTACGAATGGCATGGACTGGATTCGAGCAAAATCGCATTTATGGCTCTTGCATGGAGCGGACTCGGCGAGTCGCTCATCTGACTCGACGAGTCTACTCGCGAGTCTCCGAGTTTGTCCCCTTTTAGCTTTGTCGAGTTGTGTGGTGAGTCCAGGAGGGACTCGGTGAGTTGGAAGCCAAAACTCACCCATAGTGGAACTCGGCGAGTCGATGCCCAGAATCGGCGAGTTCAAGGCAATCTCCTTAGATCAAGATCAAACTCGGCAAGTTGTTCATACAACTCGACGAGTCACAGTATAACTTGTTCATCGGATGAAGATGAACTCGGCGAGTTGTTCATACAACTTGGCGAGTAGGATGAAGGACTTGAACATTAGTTTGGAAGGAGAACTCGTCGAGTCGACGCCTAACTCGACGAGTAGAAACAGAATTCGAGTCAGTCATTTGGACATGGACTCGGCGAGTCGGGTCAACTGGAAGTTGACTCTGACTTTGACTTAGGGCATGATCAGGAGTAAAATGGTCATTTTACCCAAGGGTCAGTTAGCAGTCTTTGACTAAGTGTTTGGTGGGACTTACAACCGGAGGATTTCCGGAGCAGTAGCAGCAGCAGTTAGACTATTCCCACGAAGATCAGCAGCTACTCCGAGGTGAGTTGCCTTCCAGTAGCGGTGGGTCTAAGGCCAAAATGTCGGCCCACAAGTAGGAGTTGGATGTTAGATGATTGTCTTTGTGATATCATCTAGGTTTTCTACTACCTGATATGTTATATGTTGGCGTGATATGTTGTATGTGATAGTAGTAGAGTTCAGTTGCTAGGACCGAAGGGTAGTCAGACACCCCAGATATGTCTGATATTACGTTCGTGTTATGATATATGTGATGGTAGTAGTAGGGGGTGAAATAATCCCTGAGGTTCGGTTGTTAGGACCGAAGGGTAGTCAGCACCCCAGAATAGCTCGACATGGGTAGGTCAGCACCCCAAAATGGCTTGACACGAGTAGGACGGCACCCCAGAATGGCCGTACCGGGTAGTCAGGTACCACAGAATAGCCTGGCAGTATGTATGATATGTATTGTATGGTATGTGGTACGATGAGGGAACTCACTAAGCTTTGTGCTTACAGTTTACAGTTTTGGTTTCAGGTTCCTCTTCATCGAAGGGGAAGGAGCTGGCTCGGTAGCGAGACATCATGAACACACACTGGTTTCCGCATTTACTAGATTTCTCTGGGATTTATACTTTGATGTTTCGATTGGTTGTATGACTTGACTTTTGAACATGGTTTATGTTGTGATGTAGCCTGATCAAACAATGTTTTTATTTATTAACGTTTTCTAAAGTAATGTTTTAAAAACGAAATTTATGGACGTGAAAATCGGGTCGTTTCAGATTGAATTCGACTCAATTCTAAAATACACTTTGTAATCAACAGACATCGGAAGTTACTGTTCACATTTCGAATGGTTCCGAGCTTCGGAATTCACTGTTTACTTCCGAATGGCTCCAATTTTCGGAATGGTTATGAAGCGACTGTACATTAGGATTCCGGAACCTCTTATCTTTGTAAGTATTTTATTATTATTATTTTTTTTACTTTTTTATACTTCTGTGTTCTTGTTATGAAGTTACTATTTATTCTCGTTATTTTAAAAAAATCAAAATTCCAATTTTTTTTGTTTCTGTATTTTCATTTAAAAAATTCAAAATATAAAAAAATATTTTTATCTTTGTGTTTTCAAAATAAAAAACATCAAAAATATTTTCGTTTTGAAATTCAATTTTGAAATTAAGTCTACAACAAGGAACTGATGGTCGACTTAATCACTTCTTTCTACCATATCTCATCACAACCTTCATGTAGTTTCCTTGACTATTAGAACAAAAACAGTTTCGGTATAGAGCTACAAAACTCTTGTTAATGATCTCAAAGTCGTTGTCAACATGATTTTCGTGAAATTTCCAACCTTTCTACTACCAATCTATTAATTTTGTACATAACCATTAAGACTCTCGGGTTTTACCACTGAGGTTTAGGTTATAAAGAATCTATGTTTATGATCTTGAAATCGTTATCACCATGATTTTGAGTGAAACCCAAAACTCCAAACACCATTTCTGAATTGACGGTGAACAATATTTTGTTCTAGATATTTACCTAATGAATTGATGGATAAAACCTTTTGGTTTGTACCTTTGAGTGTTTGAAATCTTTTTTTTTTTTCTATTTGAGTGATCTTAATGAAATGTTCTAGATCTAAGACATTTCTTCCCAACAAGATCTAGTTTTATTTTCTTTAAGATTTCAATTTTATCCAGCTACTTTCAAACATTATCCCAAGCATACTTGTTTTTAAGGCTACACTGGTCAAACAAGTACCTCTTTCAAATCTTCAGACTTATGTTAAGTTTTAGAATTTGGTTGAATACGAAACTACCCATTAAAGCCTTAATGAAAGAAGCCTTTCACAGTTTCTCAACAAACTAATGATCGTAATTCAACAGGAAACCACACAAGTAATTTGGAGTCTCTCTTGACTCAGAAGGAAGAGATTGCTACCTGGGATCAACCAGCCTTTCATATCAACATTGCTTGATGTCACAGAATCCCACATATTATTTTCTTATTTCTTTTTTTCTTTGGCACACTCTTTCACTGAAATCATTGTGATTTGACCATTTCTGGTTTCAATTCTGAATGGATGTTTACAGAAATGGAATTTCCCTGAAACCACATGGTTGTTGTAACAGTTTCTGATAGTCATTGATTAGCTGGCACGATTTTATTGGCTGATTTCTCGGTTTGCACGAATATAAAACGGTGGTTTCTCTCACCACTCATCATATACTGTATAAAAAGGGTTCTCAAATGGTTTAGTTTCTCTTACCACAAACACAATTCTCAAAGTATCAAAGCAAAAACCCTCTCACTCTCTAGTTTTCATCCTCTTTCTCATAACATTAATGGTAGATTCATCTGAAAACGTCTCGTTCGCCAATCAGTCTGCCTCTGTCATCATGCTCTCTGTCAAACCCAATCAGAACATGATCCTCGACCTTGATGCTTCATGCTACAATGAACTGATTAGGACTATGAAATATTGTCTCAAGTTCTCGCCACTGATGAAGGCGTTAACCATGGCGGAAACAATTCCCCCTTGTTCATCTCTCAAAATCATTCTCAACTGCAATTTATAATAAGTCAGATGATTTTATCAATTTTGAAGTTGGAAACCATAAAACATCGGTCTTAGAGCCCCACTTATGCAAACTTCTAGGGCTTATTTCATCAAAGTTCAGTGTCTACCCTAAATCGATTCAAGTAACTTCCATGATAGAGATGTTCTACCATATGGGGTACACCAGTGACATCTCCTTGCTCTCCAAGTTTAGGAAGTCTTTCTTACCCCCAATGTGGATTGGGTATTTACCTTACTATTCAAGAGTTTGTCAGAGAGGGTTTCTAGGTCTGACATTGCAAGCAAGATGTTCTACACTCTAATATATGGCTTATAAATGGTATCAATCTTGACTATGGGACAGTTATTTGGACTCAACTGATTCAGAGCACTATTTCCTCTTCTCGCCACACAGAAATCTTGTGTGCCAGATTATGGTCAATAGTGGTCAACCAGGCTATTGGTTACTTCAAAGTTCCTTTGATGCAAGATTCCCTATTGGCATACATTCCGACAATTCAAACGTCTACGTTTGTGATGTTGGATCCTAGAAACTTTAGTTTTATTGGTTTAATTCCGGATGAAATGTTGGAAAAGGTTCCTCTTGACAACGCCATTATGAGGAAGTATCAGAAGTTACCCCCTTCTGGTGTTCGACCAATGCTTGCTGAACTGAGGCAGTTGATTGATGAAATCAACAAACCCAAGCGTGGTGGTAAAAGGAAGGCAAAAGCTGCTCCTTTCGAAAGTGTCAGAGTTCCGAAGAATACTATGAAGCCCGCAAAGAAACCGAGATCTCTATCTACAATATTTCAAGAAGAATCGGAAAAAAGAACTCGTACTGAAGTTCACGATAATGATACACTCCGAAATGAGGAAGAGGATACAACTTCAACTTTAAAACCCACCCCTACTGAGAGTATTTTGAAGGTATCTTCTCCACCGTCTTCCTCTATTCCAACTTTTGATATTTTGGAAACATTCTAAAAGAACCATTTCTAACCCTCACTACAACTCCACAATCACCACCTGTAACTCCACCAACCTTACCAATGGCATCCTCACCCACTACATCCACAATTTCGATAGCATCCATCCCTCCTCTACCACCAACAAGTTCTGTTGGAATTTCTCTTCCTCATATTTCAATCCATCTATCCTCACATATCTTTACCGGTTCAACCACTCGTACTACATCATTAGTATCAACTCCACCGGAAGTCATTGTAATCGAATCTGTTTTGGAGGAGATACAAACTTCAGGCATCCCTATTAACGTATCTGATACGCGGAAAATGCTAATAACAGTGTGACCTCTGAACCAGGCACATCAACTACTTCTCCTTTCAATGAGAATGAAGATATGTTGTTAGGAGATTACCAATAACCCATCGAGGACTTCATTTTCCAGCCCTTCAATCTTAACATCGGTAGTGATGAAGACGAAGCTCCCATGACAAAGGGATGGTTCAAGTTGCTAACAGAAATGCTTAACTCACTCTTAGATCACTCTCGAGTCCTATTTTCTTCTAAGTGGGAAAATATTGTGACTAATCATCAAGCAACTGTGGAGATTCGCACATTTACAAATACCAAAGTCATTGAAGAATCCACTTGGGCTGCCCAAGTCTCAGACAAGAAAATAACCGAAGTTGTGGAAAAGGTTCTACTCTTACAAAACGAAGTCAAAGAATTCATGGCCGATTTTAGGACCTCTTTGGATAAGTGCACAACAGATATGAATTAGGTTATTGAAGTTTTTAGTTCTTCTTTGAAAGAGGAGAAAGAAGATCTTTTAAAAATTTGTGCTGATATCAATCTTGACAATGTCGATCTGAAATCAACCATCACCACCCAACTTGATTAATTAAAGGCGGTAGAAAAATAATATAATGGATGCCTTAGCAGAGGAAAATCAGATGACAAAATTTTTGAATGAAAAATTGAAGAATGCTCAATTTGAGGTCACTAGGCTACAAGAGGAGAAGTTCTCTATCAAGGCTCGCAATTCCAAAGTTCATTAACGATTGTTTGGAATTGTTGAGACCATATCTCCTCCATTAAATGATACAATATGCCTTGCTCTATCTGAAAAATTTAAGCCAGTGTTCGCTCTGCTGAATCAAATCCTTGGTGTTTTAGGAAGTAGTGCTCCTTCGAAACAAGGGGGAGAAGAGGTGTTCAAGGTGAAAGAAGATATTGATAATAAGGTTAACGAAGATTTTGGATCAAGGAAAGATAAAGAAAAATAAATTAATGAAGACGATGCTGAAGAAAATTTGCTCGAATCAGAGAGGCTTGTAAGAAAGAAACATGATAACGAGCTTGATGAGCTCAATGCTCTCCGACAGAAGCTTGAAGCAGAAGATGCAGAAGGTTAAAATCCAGCTTTTATTTTCGAAAGTCATAAGTCCTTGTTTCCTTCTTGTACTATTAAGTGAATTCAGAAGGAAGCCATTGATCTTCCAGAGTTGTACTGGTTGGAACCGAACACGCTATTTTACACATGTAATGATATTGAATGCCAGTTTAGACTTTCCCCTTAACCCACGAGTGTTTCTTTTCCGATGCTTCCAAAAGATTGAGAAGTCTCCAATCTCCAACGGCACGATCAACAGAAAACTCTTCAACTTTTATCTCAAGTTTGGGAAGCCTTAGTACGAGTCCTAGAGTCTAAAGAGGATCGTAGGTTTGAAGGTCAAATTACTTGTGGAAACTGAATATCTTCTGAGCATTCACGTCAAAGGATTTTGGGGTTCGAATCATGTGCTTCATGAGTTTACTTTGGCTGATTTGCCTTTCATGAATCCATATGATTGGATTTCATTATTCAACATAAATATGAAGGATGTGAATAAATACAAGCCTATTTTCAACCATCTGAAGAGGATGATTAAATGCTACATCCTGGATATTAAGATCGCTCAGTTCTGAATAAAAGACCCATAATGAAGCCATTTGAAGAACCTAAGGACATCCAAGATCTACCAGGGGGATTAATCATCAAGGATTATTGGAGCATCATGTATAAGAAGAAGGAGGGTACAGTTCTGAAAAATTGCATGTTCTATTTAAGGGATAAACACTTATATTCCACAAGTGTTGTTAATCGAATTCTGGCAAGGGCTAAAGCGAACAAGGCCAAACTAGCTTCTGATTTAAAATGTATGTCGGATATGATGCAATGGTATATGGCTATCAGGGCATCCCTTCTGAAAATAATGCCTAAGGTTTTTGAAGCGGGAAGACAACAATGAAGACTCTCTTCCGATCTGACAGAAAGCGGGAGATTGTTAGGTCTAATATTATGTTGTGTCAAATGTATGCTATTAGATTCTGAAATTGGTTTGTCCATGTTCGTAAATGTTGTTTGTCTTTGGATATTTATAGTGTGCATGTAACTTTTAGGGCTACTACTTTTTAAACCAAGTATAGAGTAGTTCCTCCTTGAGAACTATTCTATTGTAGTGAATACTAATCATTCTACACCCTTTTGATCAATATTGTTTCTCGTCTTTAATTCGTCTTGCAAATATAGAATCTATTGGTCTTTATTGTTCTCACAACGTCCAGCCACCTGCACTGCCTCATGTTTAGGTTCGGTTGATCCATAAAATATCTCAAGCTCTTGTGATCCATGTAAACCGTACAACAGACCCCATACAAATAATGTCTCCAAATATTGAGGGCAAACAACACTTCCCCCAACTCTAGGTCATGAGTGGGGTGTCGCGTCTCATGCGACTTCAGTTTCCGCAAAGCATAAGCAATCATTTGTCCTATCTGCGTACTGACCGCCCCAAACCAGTGATGGATGCATCATAGAATACCACAAAATCCTCGACTCCCACCGGAAGGGTTAATCTCAGGGCCTCGCATTGAAGGGTTTTGAGCATTCTAACACTCCTATGGTGTACATGTAACCCTAGATGCCTTGGATCTATGTTTTCTCTATTATACATGCAAACTTTCAATTTTCCAAGGCATCATCCTAACTAGCATACTATGGAGTATATACACTACAAAAATCTAGTTAGATGACTTACCTTTATTGTAGCTTTGAAACCTTAAGCCTTTAAGACCCAAGCACCCAGGTGTGATGCCTCAAATGCTTCACACAACACCACAAACAATGGAGGACTTGAGAAGAGATTGTCTTGCATACACAAAATTGGCTAGACCTCTTGTATCTCACTTATGTGCCAATTTTGGTAGCCATGAGGTTTCTTATATAGTGTGACACAACTAGGGTTACACCATGTAAACCCTAATCTGCATGAATTTCCACATTCCTTAGGCTCCGTGGGGTTTAACCTCCATGGAGTATCCATGGGTCACCACATAGGTTTAGCCCAACATAAAGAACTATGGATCATACGCCCACTTTATAAGAATGAATGATTTACACAATCAATCCCCATATATTTAATTAGTCTCTTTTGATCACAAAATTAATTCCAAATTAATTCTTGATCAATACTAATTAAATAATATGATTTCATATTAATATATTAGAACTTATAATATATTATCAAATCATAAATATCCTCTCCTTATAAGTTTATCCTTACAAATTGTTCTGGTGCCATGCAACCCAAATGGACCATGCTACTTTCCGGTCAATTACATACCAATTATAGTTATGGGCTTAGACACTAAATCCAACATAAATAACCTCTGCCGAAGAGTCTCAAATGCTGACTGCTGCTCAAAAATCCATCGGAAATCCACTCCCTTCCTCGTTAGACGAGTGTGGGGTACCGCAATCTTGGACAAATCCTAAATAAATATCCGATAGTACCCTTCCAAACCTAAGAAACTCCTGATTTCTGAGGGAGATTTTGGAACATCCTACTGCATCACTACCTCATTCTTGGCCGGGTCAACCCAAAATCCCATCCAGGTTAGCGATGTGCCCTAGGAACTGGCCCCCTCGTAACCAAAACTCACACTTCGATAACTTGGCACAAAGTCGCTCCCGCCTCAAAACTCCCAAAATATCTCGAAGGTGATCCTCATCCTGCTATTTGGTCTTGGAATATACCAAGATATCATCAATGAACATGATAACAGATTGGTGAAGCATCGGCCTGCATACCCGATTCATCAAATCTATAAATACAGCAGGTGCATTGGTGATCCTAAATGACATGACCATGAACTCGTAATGCCTATAACAAGTCTAGAACGCGATCTTCTCCACATCCTCCTCTCTCACTCTCACCTAATTATATACAAACCTTAGATCTATCTTGGACAACCAAGATGCACCATGCAACTAATCAACAAGGTCATCAATCCATAGAAGGGGATAACGGTTCTTTACCGTTAACTTTTTCAACTCCCGGTAATCAATGCACATCTAGTATGAACCATACTTCTTCTTGATGAACAATATCAGCTCTCCCAATGGAGAACTGCTCGTTCTGTTGAATTGCTTGCCTAACAGCTCCTGAAGCTGAGAGGACAACTCTTGCATATTAGGTGGTGCCAAGCGGTACAATGCCTTAGCAATTGAGGTCGTACCTGGCACTAGATCACTCCTGAACTCAACCTGTCTCTCAGGAGGCACACCCAATAACTCCTTTGGGAAAACATCAAAAAATGCACTGGCCGCTGGCACATCAAAAACTGAGGTCTGCTTCCTAACCCGAGTAACAATCATGTAAGCCAAATAATGTCACAACCCAAAAATTTTATTCTTAAAAACTCAACTTTGGTCAAAATTATTCCTTCCATTATCTTAAATTAGATGGATTATTGGTTTATAAGTTTTGAAGCCTTGTAATTAAGTGTGTTATAGTTTGGAAGGGAAAAGCCTTAAGAATCCAAAACCCTCGTAGCCGTGAACCCTTCAACATGGTCCGTGAACACTCATGTGTTCTTGGGCCAGGAACCCTCATTGTTTGGCAGTGATCAAGTTTCAACCCCGTATTTTTTGTTCTAACACTTCATTGTAAGTGTTTCCTACTTCCTAAGGTTGTTTACTTTGCATGTTAGTAGTTGCATACACTAATTGTAGGCCTATACATGTTAACATATGCAAAATAGGATGTATTTGTGCTTGGGACTTCACTTGGCATACCGATCATCCTATATCATATCTTCATTAAAATCTCCAACATCAGGTGAGTTCATACCCCTATAATCTACCTTTTAAATGTTTTTAAATCCTTTTAGGGGGGGGGGGGGGAATACAAGTTGAACACAATAAAATTTTGTTAATACTTAGTTGTGATAACCATCACACAAAAGGAATTCTTAGGCTTTAATAAGTTATTAATTCAATTCAAAAACTATTTTAAAAGATATTAGATTGTTGTTTATACAACCCCGTTATTAAAGCACATGCTTAACTCAGTTACTAATTGAGTCTTTTCTACAAACCAGTAGCAGTTCAAACAAATATACTAGTAAACTACAATAGGTATAGTTTACAGGATCAATGCATATTATATACTAGAACAGAGGATCAATACATGATTCATGTATATATACATTACATTCCAAGTAAACTAGGAAAGAAAAGTACCATCAATTCATTTGTTTAAAACAAAATATGATAATACATTTAGTGTGTGTGTGTGTGTGTGTATATATATATATATATATATATATATATATATATATGGGGTACATCTACAAAGTATCGGGTTATATATGGGGTATATCTACAAAGTACCGGGTTATATATGAGGTAAATCTACACAGTATCGGATTATATATGGGGTACATCTACAAAGTACTGGGTTATATATGAGGTACATCTACAAAGTACCGGGTTTTATTTAAAATGGTACATCTATAAAGTATCGGATAATAACAAATAAAACATAACAATATATTAAACTCATAACAATATCGACTAAGGCATTTAGAGTACGGGATTTCATAACTTCTAGTGGTTTTCCTAACAATAGAACTACGCCACATAACTTTCTTATTAACATGAACATATAGTTTGACAGGGGCCTATAACTCTAACATTATGATTCCTTGGTAGATACATCAGGGTTATATATTAATCAGATCCGACAGGCAGTAGGATGGGTACTTTCCGCTTTATTTCCTGTTTCTTGTTTTGTTGTGGGCTTAGAGTAGATTCACACAGTCTACTATCTATTCGATCTTAATTATTTGTATATAGCCCATATGCAACAAGTAATCATAGGGGGTAAAAGGTATGGGTTAGGTCATAACATACAAATACATCATACAACTTTTTAGTACAAAAACATACTTTTCGAATGGATCATTAAGTAGGTGAAACTAGAAACTTTTTATAAAAGGTTTAATACTAATTACTAAATTAGTATAACACAAAGGACTTAAGATGGTTAATTATATAATTCCTTAGTTTATACATCAGAGTTATATATAATTAATATCCGATAGGCAGTGGAATGTGTGACTTCCCCTTATTTCCTGTTCCTTGTTTGGTTGTGGGCTTAGGGAAGATTTACACATTTAACGGTCCGCTCGATATTAGATTATATATAGCTTGTATAAACTCAATGATTATAGAAGGAACTATTGTGGTTACCATTTTACTAAAGAAAATATATGATTTTCTTAAGGAATATTTTCATCAAATATAAAAGAACTATTACAGTTAACTCCCTAAGCACCTAGTGAATACGCCAATGTTATATACGATGAAGATCTAACAAACAATGGGATGTGTGACTTCCGCCACATTTCCTATTCCTTGTTTGGTTGTGGGCTTAGGGAAGATTCACACAATCGATTGTCTGTTTGATCTAGATTGTATATAACTTATATTCATTAGGTACTCATAGAAGGAATTGTATAGTCATTTTTACTTATCATGTTATCATATCAGAAAATATAGGATTTTCTTGAGGAAAAGACGAACTTTTCTAAAGAACTTAGAGTATACTTTTTATAACAAAAATACTTATGAGCTCACCAGCTTAAATGCTAATCCTCTCTTTCAAAATAACTTCTATTCTTAGGAATCCAGTAGACAGGTACACTCCCAGAGCTTTTGAGAATATAGCCTAGTGTCGTGTTGTATCATTTGTCTTTTACTATAACTACTTTTGATGTCAAATATCTAATGTATGAACACTTATGTAAAAACTTATACATTATCAATGCAATGGTTGTTGTACTTTGATTACTATAATTCATGTGTTGTGATACATGACATGACATCCTCTGCCCCCGAACATTTCTTCCGTTTCGGTTTGGGGTGTGATATATAACCCGCACACCCATGCTAAATATACTGTTA